TATTGAAAAACTAACATAATGTTTTCTTACTTACAGATTTCACCGGGAAGATTGTGCATTACAAAGGCTATGCCAATTCCAACGCATCACTTCCGTGCCCAGGACTGTCAAAATTAAATAATCAAACTTTTCTTGAAAACCTCGAGTGGTATTCGGTAACAAAGCAAGAAACTGTGGCTGTAAGAACGAAAGAAGATTTCGATTTTCCGAACACGCTGATCGATCCAAAAAAGAACATTTACGCGAATTTTGACAATGAATTAGTGTTTAGGAACCTCACCTCGGCCGATCGTGGGGATTATATATGTTTAATTAATCATGGACTTTTAAAGGATGTGATGATTCGGTTTAATGTTATCGGTAAGTGCCTATCATTTTCAGCATAATTTTTTATTTAGTGTATCTGAAGCAATTACGATAATTCCCACCTTTCAAATCTAACGAAACCACCTTATTTAACGAAGAACTGAAACTGAAATTTGGCCCAATGTCAAACACTTGTTTCCATAACAAAATAGCAATGGTGTTACTTATTATTTATCCGAAATGAAAGTGGGTTTGAGATAAAATTCGAATTTCTGCCAACACCTGCTCAGTTTAACAGTAAAATCAAGATGCAAAGTTGCGGTTTGACTTGAATTTAGTATTCAGGTTTTTGCTTAAGGGTTGAATCGATGCGGGTGCGGAATTGTTCGGCGTATTTATTTCAGGCAATTTATTTTCTGGCAACATAAAGGTAATATATATTTTCACATTTTCACAAAAACCCAGCCAATTGATTTGAGCACCAAAAAGATTTTTCCTGAAACTACTTCCTTTTGAAAAATAACTTGCTACACATTTTAGGAGTATTTCTCAAACGGCATCTCTATCGAGAATAGAAGCGCCATAGTTTTCATGTTATAGGTTATTCTTTAAATTGGAAACATGACAATTTATTTACCCAATTATTTAAATACAGTAATCCCATTCATACTTGCGACGAAAAGCTGATTACCAATCGAAACCTGTCAAAAATACGATCAAATTGAAGAATCATGGTCTCTTACGTAAATACTCAAGATTATCACGTAGTGTCAAGGTCGAACATTACAAGCAGCGCTACATATTAAGAAAAGGAAATAACAGTTGTAAAGTATATCATAGATGTTTCTTTTTACATCAGATAAGTCTTTTTAGAAGAAAATTACTCTGAACAATGAAATATTTCCAAGAAGTTAAAGAACTGTTGCGGGGCACATTTTGCATCGTGTTTTTCGAAAATAAATTTCTTAGAAACGAAAAATACCTACAAGTTCAGTGTTATGCGTTCAGTAAAGAAGCCTGTGCTCTAAATGTCGTCAAAAATTCATTCAAATCACGTGAAATCCTCAATTTTGTCCAGTGCGTAAATGTTGATTTGAAAATGAACGCTTCCAGGCAACTGCATACTCTTCAATAAAAAATGCCAACTTCCAAAGTAAAGCCAGTAGAAACCTGAAAGACAAGAATGTCTACAGAAGTAGAAGACGTTTTTTGTTAATGAAATGTTGACTTTAATTTGCACCTACTTTGTTCAGGCACATTGGTATAACTGAATCGAATTACCAAGTCCTTATCCAACGATGTGTGGTCAAATGGTTCTGGAGCAACGTCCAAAAAGGCGGCGTCATGTTTAACAGAAAACATGAAACTGTTTTAACCCTTTGCGGCCCAACATTTTACTTGCAAAAAACTATTTTAAAAACATGATTTTGATTCCCTTGAGACTATCGACCGATTTCGTTCACTGTCGGTAGCAAACTGACTATTCATACACCTTTTCGAAAATAAATACACCGAAGTACAGAATGAATATGACAAATATATAAAAAATAACACAACGACACTACATTCTCACTAGCATTTTTTATTTTTCAATTGTAGTGTGGAGTATTCAAGAAATACTTTAACATAAGTTTCCACATTTTTGAAAATATTAAAGTGAAGACGTGTTGACTTCACTCGCAGTTGATGTGCCTTCATTGCTCTTTGCCAGCCTAGAAATTCTTGCCTGCACTTAAGACAAAAAACATCTTGTTTATGACGATCCGGTAAATATTATAGGAAACAAATTGCGCATGCTTTCAGAACACGAAACTTTAAAGCTAAATGTCACTTATCCTTTTATAAATAATTGAGGATAAAAAATTGCCAGTCAACTCTGAGCAGTCAACAGGTTTCTTAATTAATTCTCTTTAATATCAAAATTTCGTTAAGTTGATGGCAATCAACTTACATATATGAACATGCCCTGTGATGATAAATTAAAGCTCAAAATATTTGGTTAGCACACAGAAAGCTTTACCGCGGCAAGTTTAATTTTATTGCGTGAATAATTAACATTGTTTTGCTGAGGATATTGGTATTTCTATTTTGATTAAAGATATATACAGATATACATTACGATTGAAAAGCTTACTCAGGTCTTTTGTTGGCTTGTTTAAAACCACAAAAAATATCTGAGAGACGAAATTTAATCTACATTTTAACATCACAACTTTCCTAAATAATTCCTATTAAAATAATATTTAAATCACATACATTTCTCAGAGTTACGCAAATCTAGAAATATTGGTAAAATTATAGTGAGGTTGAATAAAGGTTAGTTCCATGTGCGATGTGAGAATTGAAGATCTGAGAGAAAATGTACCACTTATGTGGAGTCTTATTAGCTATTAGATTCGATTAATGGAATAATAGTATTAAAAGAAAACTTGTGCAATGCTACTTTCCAAAAATATTTTAAGGGCGTTGTGTGTCTTCAAAATCTCTGGGCAACCTACACATTTCTAGGACTTATTTAAAGCTTCGACAGATAAAGTTGGAAATGGCTGACTTAAAAATACAATGCCTGCTTTTATTTTTATGAGAAAGCCGATACAATTCGAGTCCGTATTTGCACAAGGAAAAATTCTCGTGTGTAGATACAGATACTTCCAATTTCATACTGATATCACATTTATGAGAGATCCAAGGTACAAGATCTACGTTTACTTTTTTAATTTCAGCGCGGGGTTATATTTTTTGGCAAATGGTCCATATATCCACTTTTGACGTGATATTAAGGTAGGTGAAGGGTGAAATTTTAGATCCTTCAGCCGCGTAATATATCGTCGCTTTTGTTTTTTTAAGCCCGAAATCCCATGTCGACTATTACGGCGTTTTAGTATTACACAAAATAAAATTTTCGTCTGTGTTCAAGGGACACAATATTACTTGTACTTATTTTAAAAGGCTCTTTTCTTTGGGAGACCGTATAACTCTTAATGTGCTTTACTGAAATTTCTTTAAATAAACTGGCTCATTCTTTTGCTGATACGCACCTTTTCTTCCTGCGGATAAGGTATCAATGGCTTCTTTTTATAGGGTGATTCAAAAATAAAAAGGGTGTAAAAGAATGCTGAACTGTGGAGAATTATAAAGATCGGTGCCTTCAAGCAGTATTAGCACGGAGCCAATTTATTGCTTGCACGCTTTAAAGGAGCTTCCGTGACAAACCCTTTTATAGAGAAAGACAGGAGATTTACTCCGCTCTATTGTTAGATTCTTGAAGTCACACAATTTTTATACATTTTACTGCACCAAGGTAGAATTATCCATTACGCCATACCTACAATTGATATTTTTTATTATGCAGAGTAAGAGATCTTGAAAAGGTGTTAAACATTCTACAAACGGCGCTGTTTTTTATTTTCTAAACAAGGATCTTTACTCCCGTTTACGGTATAGTTAATTGAACAGTACCGGCAGCAAAGTTTCCAATTATACCTTCAATAAATATATGTTGAAAGAAATGAAAAATTAAGCAATTGTCCCAAATGAAGGCAGAGATAAAGTGCTTTTATCCCTTATAATAAGCATTCTGATTTTTCCATGCATCAGTTTTTCCAAAAATTTTTGTGACAGAATGAGCCTAATTGCATAATTTTTCGCTTTTAGGGAATATTCTAAACATAGAATATTTTACATACATATATAGTATTGATACAATGTAAGTATTTCCAACTTAAAAAATATTTTTATAGGCAGCAAAAATTATATAAAGTGTATTCTTATTATTATAAGTACATTCTTTCCGCCAAGATTTGTGGTAATTTGATATATTTACTGTTTTTTAAGCAGATGTGTTCAATAGTATTAAACAAAATACATAGCTAGACTCTTTATTTCAAGCAATTTTTAGCAGAGAGTTAAAAATTCTCAGTTTTCAGTCCTTTCTGAAATGCAAACTTTTTAAATGTACTTGAAGGTCCATGGAATGAATAAAACAAAAATATAATACCCTTGTTCAGCAAGGCCGTGATGTCCATTGTTTAAAATACTACTATATCAATGATACTATTTTAGAATTTTATGTGAGTTTTTTTATTGATTTAAATTAATGTGTTCCTATAAAACGAAACTCGTTGAGTGTCGGTTGCTTAGCGTTTAATAATAAATCAACGGGTTTTCGGCCGTCTACTAATGAGTTATAATCACCTGCGAGGTATTGCGTTATGATCATTTCCTTCAGATATGGAAAAAACAGTTCTAACACCTTTTAAGTTTCTTAATTATTACCTCGATGCTAATAAGATCTAGATAAAAAATTTGAATCATTTTTACTAAAAGGCTACAACAAAATCCTGTATGAACTTTAACACCAAGATTTAAGTATTAATGTACATAATTCGCATGAAAAGTCCAATCACATTGCATTGTCTTCGTTTAGATAATCATTTGATTATTGGCATTTTAAACGTAATTAAAATCAGCTTACAGATAATCTACTCGTGTTACATTTGTGTAAAATAACTTGAAGGTTTTAATAGACATTTGGCAATTTTGAAATGGCTTAAGGTACATTTTTGATTTTGTATTATGATAATACCAGACGAATTTTTCTTTGATTCGCAAACAATGTTAGTTTCATAGGATTGACATTACCGGAATTAATTAGCTCTGAAAGCCGTATTGGCGTAGATGCAAAAGTCAATATAAACAAATCAGTAAAATTTATTAGTCCAAACTGTGAGGAACGGCAAACTAATTAAAGTAAGTAATTCACTTGGCTTTCAGATATTGTGTGTGATTAGTGGTTAAGTAAATCAGTAAATGTATCTCGTTTTATTTTCCAACAAAAATATTTGATTATTTATTTTAGATAGTCTAAGAAACCAAACCAAGAAAGTCTGCTATTTACAGATATACAGATAAATAGTAAATTTTTCACAGATTTGACCCTAAATAAAACATGTCAAAATGAATAAATTAGACTGTCTCACAACAAGAGAACCACATATTTTTATATGGAGTTATATATTATGTGGCATACATTGAACATATCTCCCTTCTGAATTGACCAAATAAGTTGCATATCTGACAAGACTTGAAACTATTTATATGTCGGGGAATCAATAGTTTTACAAGTAAATAAAAGCATCATTAACATGTTATCGGCAGCTAATAACAAAAACATATCGAAATCATAATAATTGCGAAATTTTAACGTTTATCATTCCTGACAAGATACTTTTTCTGGTGTGGCTGTTGTCTTTACATGTAAATACATTTAATCTTCTGGAGTTTTTCTTCAGCAGCTTGATGCAAAAGTTTTAGCATAAAAGTATACTATATACATATATAAAATATATTGCACTTTGCAAATCGCATTTTACGGGTAGTATGAGAGTTTGGGTTTGGTCACAGAGATCAACGTTAAAGCCGCTATTTAAATTATGTAAATAAGAAATGTAAACTTTTAATATTAAGCCGGCATTTAGACAATGAAATTCGTTGTCTAAACAGACGTATTTTCATACGTAATTCCTCGTATCTTTGTAGATGATGAAGCCAATAATATTAGTAAATTATATTTTCACTTCAAATTGACGTAATTTTGATTGGAGAATGTTAACATAATTTTTGGTAAAATATATAGATATAAAATTTCAATGAGTTTAATCGAGGGCATAAACCTGCCTGGCATAAAGAACTGAGAGAAGAAAAAACATATGTAATCAGTTATTCATAGGCCAAGAATGCAATGTAGTCATTACTGTTTAATATCGAAAATGCACTGGTATTTCCGCTATTAGCAATATTGCAGCTATCGCTTATTGTGAAGCCAATAATGGGCAGACGTGAAAGTGAAATAGTGGGTATTTCGTTAGGCAAGTGTCTGCTTTGCTCTCTGGCTAATTAGAATTGCAGACATTTGATACCTTTGTTTTATGACTGCTCAATTGGATGCCCGCATATATACAACTTAAGCAAAGCAAATAATCCTCTTAAGAAAACTTCCATAATTATATAATAAATTTAAAATTATGTTGCATTTGAAAATGTTTGCGACTATCGTTTAAAACTTTAGTTTAAAACTTATTAAAAATAAACACAGAGTAAATACAGTATGAATACAGAGTCATTGTAACTTTAAGATTAACGAATTGGGATTTACTTACTTTTACAGAGTCCTGCAGAATAAAAAAAAACTGCTTGTATATGTTGATAATCCAAATGTGTTTTGAACACGAAAACAAAATTTAAAAAATCACTTGTTTCCTCAGTTTAAGCAAAGAGTAAGTGTCAAGTAAGTAGCTCTGAGGTTCAATTTTGTGTCAATAAAACCATCAATTCTATTCGCTACCAAGGAGCACGTGTTTTATCAAATATGTAACTAACTTTTGTTATCAATGTCGCTTAACAGTTTTATTACACAGCTTTCAAAGCCGTAAATAAAATGTGCATTTTGTTAAAAATAATATTGAATACAAACTTAATTAAACCCTTCAATATTTCTATCACTCTCTCTGGTTAATAAAATGTCTTAAGAAAGTTTTGCCTCCTCAACATCTTTTTCTATGAAG